CTACAACTCAATCTCTTCAGGACACAAAGTCCCTTTCTGCAGACACACCAGGGGCTTATATTCACAACCATCCCCTAGACAAACACACAGTCAGGTATTACACAGTATCCTAAACATCTTTTATTTCATACCAAGTTACTTTAAAATTCTGAGTTATAAACTTGTCTATGAAGCAAAAATATACAAATCTAACCAGTAACTGGAGCCACCACAGGCCTTTAAAAAGTGATATTCATGGAAAATAGGTCTCATTACATTTAAGTAAATTAAGAAGGAAAACAAGGTGTATAAATTAACCTCAAATTTCTTGAGTCCCAAAGTTCAAAGGCATCGTTGCAGGCAACTGTTGAACTTTCCTTATACCTATCAGTCAGCACTAAGGCAACTACTATAGATCTAGCATTCTGTGGATAGGAAGGACAATTTCCATTGGTCCTCTAGTCATCTCCTGTAATCTTTCTTCTTCCAAATCCATCATGAGTCTCCATAACCCTCAGTGTCAGCAAAGGCATTGTTCCTCCTCCTTTATGTAGAGTAAGGAAGCCAACAATGTCTTGTCTTCACATTTTTATCCTCAACTCTTATCTGTTCAAAGCCTTCACTTTTTTCCTCTCAGTTTTGAACTTGTAAGTTTGTTCATCAAAAGCTAAATGGCAGTGTCTTTTAATGCTGTGTCCATACTAAAAGGCACTCATGCACAACAATTTAATGGCAGGAGCAGAGCATCTGGCTGGGTTTAATCTCAAACACCCACAATCCATGAAACCACTAGAAAAGGCAAAGCAGGAGGTGATAACCAGCTGCTCAGAGCAAAACCACACCCACAGGGGCTTGGCCAACTGCACTCACAGGTCAATTATAGGCACTCTAGAGAAACCAGGCAGACAAACTGCAGTTCAGGGAGCTGGCATCACATGCTGGGTGAAGGCTGACAGCCAAGGTCTTATGCTCATAAAAACTGTGAAGATGCATTATCCATCTGCAGGTGGGGACACTCACTGACTGTACAGGGTCACAAGTCTAAGTAAAAGTGACAGTCTTACCTATCAGATCTTGGCCAGTGCTTTTTGTTCAAGGCAACACAATTCAAGTAAGTATGCATATTTTTTTTCATACTAAGTTGTTCGGTCTTTGTGATATGTTAAACCACAAACACCATGAAGTGGGCAACTAGTGATTAGAAATAAAATATACAACTATGCCAAAAAATAAAAAATTGGGGGAAGAGACAATGACTGGGGTTTGAATTCAAAGCCTCACACTGTGTCACTTGAACCATACTCCCCCCGCCCCCAACCCCCTGCCACTTTTGCTAGTTATTTTTGGGATAGTCTCACATTTTTGCCTAGACCAGCCTAGATCACAATCCTCCTATTTATACCTCTAGTGTAGCTGGGATGATGGACCTGTACCACCATGCCCAGCATTATTGGTTGAGATGAGGTCTCAATAACTTTTCCCATGGGTTGGCCCTGAATGAGGATCTCTACCTCCCAAGTAGTTAGGATTACAGGCACAAGCCAAAGTGCACCTGGGTTGACTATGCAATTATTTTCTTTAAAAAAGAAAATCATGCCCTGCCAACTATTATTTTTTTTTTTCTTTTCACTCAAAGAGCAACCATCTTCTTTCAGGGATTGGGGAAAAGTAACCAAGAAGCACAGAAACCTGCTGGGGTAACAGAAAGCACCTGCACCTTGCACAAACTACTGAGAGTATGCAGGTGTCAAAAGTGAAAGCTGTACCTTTAAGATCTGTACACTAAACAGATAAAAAAAAAGATCCATGTGTATGTATAGATATATGTCCTATCAATTTTATTTTGATCATTCTTAATAAAAACTTCGAAATACATTAAGTTTGAGCAATGTTCCTGTAAGTGTAGACCATCCTGGTCTAAAATCTAAGTCTCAAATGAATGAGCTCCCTTTTCCCACAATGCAACTTGTTTTCTCTCTGCGTTATTAAAATCCTTTTTATTGTTACAAAAACAGAACCCATTTAAGCAGCAAAAGTTTCTGAGAGGCCAAGTTCAAAAAGTTGCCAGTTATCAAAGTTGCTATCCAAACTGTTTAAAAGTAAGTCTAAAAAAATATTTCAGTAGTTTCTTCAAACATCAACTATCTAAAAGATTATCTTCCTCAAATATCAATATTTTATGTAAGTTGACAGCAAGCAGAAAAGATTTACATTTAAAATTCAGTATTTCTGTGAGAAACAGAACTAACATTTCTATGCTGGTAAGAAATGAGTACCATTCATTCAATCAGCAAGGGGACAAGAAGAGAACAAAACACACCCTCTTTCTTCCGCCTTAAAGGGCACCCAGAGGTGGAGCACACAAGCTGAACTCACCTAGGAGTTGGTGTCCTTGAGGAGACTGAACTTTTCCAGGTTTGCTAAGAGAAATATCTTTAGCCCTGTCAACCAAGCAGTAAGCTCCTTGATTGCACCTTAAAGGGAATTAGTGTTTCGGCTCATTTGCATTTTAAAGGATACTCTTTCATGATCTTTCACAGTTGTAAATGATGTCTAAACCGTTAAATTACTATTTCTTTTCTTATCCTGAAAGTCGATGCAGACTAAAAGCATGGCCTCTCCATTGTTCTTTACCCTAAGTTGTCCCTGAACAATACTGACAGCTGCTATCAAACCAGGCTGCATTTACTCTGCCGCAGCTGCTGCTTGTAGGAACAGACAGTCTCCCTGTGTCTCCTCCCCTCTGGGGAGACAGGTTGACACACTGCATGTTCAATGAAGGGGTGCAAAGGTCCACTGAATTGTCAACCCAATTTTATGCTACTTCATTTTTCCAGGATGCACACAGTTCCTTTCAAGCAAAAATCAAGCATATGCCAGAGCATGAAACTTATGGTGCAGGATAATTATTGACCACTACAAATTTTATAAGAGCCTTCTGACATACATTAATAGACTGATTCCAAAATTTCAATGCCAGGATACTAAAGACATGCAAGAAACGTAAACCTTGTGTTGGGCCCAATTCACCAATCTAGGTTATTGTTGCTATGCTATCAGAGCTAATCTGCCTTTATAATCCCAACATTCTTCCTGGACTAAAGCCATTCATAAAATTAGTGATTCATCTGCCTTCTAAAATGACCTATTTTCATTTTCTGATTCTGCTCAAAATGGATATTACCTATAAACATCTGGCTAACATAATTTCTTCCTTTCTGAAGTATAGGTCCAAAGGAGTCACAGGGGCTGGGCAATGCCTTTTGAAATTTAAATGCAAGATTTTTTACCATTAAAAATTTACATGTAGCTAGCAATCCTAGCATGTGTGAGGCCCTGGGTTCAATCCCCCAACATCATACAAAACAAAAGAAAAACTACATGTAAAAATTTAGAGCCTATCAGAAAACAAACATGTTCCACGAAGTTGAACTGGGTACTTGAGAACTGCTTTGCATATGTTTTCTTTTAATCAAAACAGGCTTTTCCATCCTCATTCATTTGGGTTAAAAATTCTGTGCTCAAGCTACAAGTACAATTCGCTATTAGTCTCTGCTAATCAAACATGGTATATGTAAAAGTACCAGTGAATATTTGATTTGATCTCTGAAATAAAGCAATTCATTACACAAGAAAAGGGTGCAGAAGGCAGCAGACAAATGCAGATGTAATTGTGTTTCTTGTTGAATGTGATTAGGGAGCCTACTAAGTAACAGTCAAAAATGTGATACTGAAGGGAAAGAAAGGCAGAGCCTAGATCTGGGGGAAGAGGAGGGAGAATTGTTTATGCAGAGCTAAGCTGTCAAGTGTAATAAAGCAGCTTGAATAAAATTTAAGCTGAAAATCCACTGAAGCTCCCCATTTCTGAGAGGAAAAAGCTATTAAAAGGAAATGAAGGTCACCCTCCCAGTTTATTTCACCTAATTGACTGCCAATAGCTTACCACAGGCAACCCAACTGCAGATCTGCAATTGAGAAACTGATGAAAAGAGAGTTTTCAAGCTGAGGCTCATTCTTTAATCCTCCTCAGCTCTTTTTTTTTTTTTTTTCATCTCCAGTTGGGACGTAATTTTAAGCCCTGATGGATTAACTGGTTCCATTGTTTGTGGCGTCACTGGACTATGGCACTCTTAATCCGTACAGCAGCATGTCTAATTATCATTACAAAGTGTCTGAGGGAACTATAAAGACCAGCAGGGCATCTTCTCACAAGCAATTAACATAAATTGATAAATGAGTGATTCTGAATCCGCTCAAGGCACTCACATATGAATAAAATCAGAAAGGACCCTCCCTTGTTTCAGCTACTTCTTTGGCTTAGTCTGGAAGGGGCAGAGCACATGAGAACTATCCTGGGTCCTACAAACTCAGGCACAGGACAATTCAATGGAATCCTTAATGAGGAGCAAATGACTTGTGACTGACAACCAGTGGCCAGCAAGAAGTGCTAACTGAACTCCAGAAGAGAGCAGGAACCTGCTGAAAGGTTAGGGAGCACCACTGCAGACAATTAACACTTCTCCCATGGCAAGGGAGCTTTCTTTTCATTGGTGTCACTTAGAAATTCATGAAAGGGCACAAGAAAGAGAAGGAGCAAATAGTTACACAGGTTTGAATGAATACCCTAGGAAAGCAAAAAGCAAAAGCAAAGCGAACTCTGTGAAATTAATAACTCAGGGACCTGTCTTGACCTCACAGTGGTGGAAAGTTTTAAGACAGAAAGCAAGAAAAGTATTTAAAATTCTAACCAAAACCTTTTATTTAACTAATGGATAAGGGTGGTTTTAAGTGTCACAGGATAAACTAGTTTATTTTTCCATTTAAAGGTGATTTATTTTTCCCCCTCCTAAAATGCTTTCCCATCATATTCTTTATGCTAAGCCCTCTCTCCCTATACCTCTCAACACACACCCAAGCCCCCTTCCACTTATCAAACAGGTTAATATTAAGCTACACAAAACTGTATTTATGTATATACTAAGCCATCAAGCAATTAAGAAGTGAAAGCCGGTTATACACACTGTAGGAGGTAGACCTGGTAGGCCACGTACCCCGATGATGGCATTCAACTCTGCCATGGTCACCTGTTTGGCACGTTCAACAGCCTGGGCCACCTGTTGTTGATGCTTTGAAAACAAGAAGAGAATGTGTTAGCAACAGCCAAGAACTTCCCTGTATATTCTAATAACAAAAAAGACAAAGACAATGCTACATGCACTGCAGGTCAAAGTACACGCCTTTAAATGGGTAGGCGTTTCTCAAACACATGTCATTTCACAGAACACAGGAAAAGCAAAATTGAGGATGGTGACTTATTCCTATAGGACATCAGTCACCTCTTCACTTCTGATGGTAATTTCTAGCTCTGAATGGTAGGAAGCCAGAAAGTACATACAGAATGGTGACTTGTAGCCTTATGTAATAAGGAGAACTTGACTTGGAACATCACCCTGGCTCAAAGAAGGGGTTGGCAATGATAACTCTGGGCAGATAAAATTCACAGTGATTTAAAATACTCCCCCCAAAAGATTTTCACTCATTTATATATATATTGTCCTAGCTACTTAGGAGGCTGAGAATAGGAGGATCTCGATTCAAGGCCAGCCCATGCAAATAGTTCCCAAGCCCCCATCCCCAAAATAACGAAAGCAATATGGACAGGAGGTGTCACTCAAGCAGTAGAGCATCTGCTTTGCAAGCAAGAAGCCCTGAGTTCAAACTTCAGTCCCACAAAAAAAATTTTTTTCAATACTTAAAATTCAAATATAAAGTCTGTAATGACATCTCTAACAAATCTTGACCCATCAGTAGTTTTTGGCAACGCCTATTCTTTTAGTCTTTTGATTCTTCACCCTCTACCAGGGAAAAAGTGATCAATCCCTCCTCAATTCAAAGGATGAAAACTCACGCTGCATATTTCCCAACTCCACTCACAATAAAAATGCAACCACAAGTTCCCTTTGGGAGGCCTGAGCCCCTAAGTAGAGACCATGTATGCTAAAGTCTAACACAACTAGATTCAAAAGGTTGGCAGCATGGATTAAGAAAATGTGGTATCTATACACAATGGAATTTTATGCAGCCATGAAGAAGAACGAAATGTTATCATTCGCTGGTAAATGGATGGAATTGGAGAACATCATTCTGAGTGAGGTTAGCCTGGCTCAAAAGACCAAAAATCGTATGTTCTCCCTCATATGTGGACATTAGATCAAGGGCAAACACAACAAGGGGATTGGACTATGAGCACATGATAAAAGTGAGAGCACACAAGGGAGGGGTGAGGATAGGTAAGACACCTAAAAAACTAGCTAGCAATTGTTGCCCTTAATGCAGAGAAACTAAAGCAGATACCTTAAAGCAACTGAGGCCAATAGGAAAAGGGGACCAGGAACTAGAGAAAAGGTTAGATCAAAAAGAATTAACCTAGAAGGTAACACCCACGCACAGGAAATCAATGTGAGTCAATGCCCTGTATAGCTATCCTTATCTCAACCAGCAAAACCCCTTGTTCCTTCCTATTATTGCTTATACTCTCTCTACAACAAAATTAGAGATAAGGGCAAAATAGTTTCTGCTGGGTATTGGGGGGGGGGAGCGGGAGGGGGTGGGGGCAGGGGGGAGAAATGAACCAAGCCTTGTATGCACATATGAATAATAAAAGAAAAATGAAAAAAAAAAAAAAAGGTTGGCAGCAAATGAGCATGGAACAGTAAATGACAACTAGAACCAACACCCAGTCCACTAAACTTCTCACCCTGACCCAAAATACATTCATCCTGTATACACTGAAAACACACTATATCATTTATTAGCCTATATCCAGAAGGAAGGTAAATCTTTCAAAGCAAAACTAAAATACAGCGTTGAGTCAATTTCACAGATTACTTATATAAAGCACTTTCCCTCAAAATGTTAGATAAACCTCAATGACTATGTACTTAAATAAAATGGCTTATCTATGTCTACAGCTCAGTAAGTTAACACACTTAGGGTGATACTTATTTTTAGCCTTATGACTATTATCATCCACTGGGACCCTCCATGGACAGCACTAAGTCAAGGGACTTTACATACAAATGCTTCCATGGTAGTCCACCAAGATGGAGTCACTTCTAAAGTCAGTATAGAAAAAGCTCTAGTCTACTTAACAGACAAAAGGATACCAGAATCCTCAGTAACCTATCAAGCTTACATTACTCAAAGAAAACAAAAGCTTTCTGTTTGGTAGTCATTTTGCAGTTTTCCATAGGAAAAAAATTAATTTGGGGTTGAGCTATTGTCGATACTTCTGCTGCAGTGCCCTCAGATGTGTTAGACTGAAAAGCAGGGGGTTTACACACTTCAGCTGTAACAGATGTTCTTCACACTTGTTCCTAGTGATAAAATTAACATCTTAAAACTAGCTAATTTGCAAACAGAGAAGCAACATAATTGCACTTTAACAGCTGAGCAGTTTTACTTACTTCCTGAGACAGAAATGGGATGACTTGTGCACAAATCGTATTCAATCTCTTGGCGATTTCAGTCTACAACGACAAAGCCATACAGATATTTAAAACACCTAGCAAAAACAGTTTACAAAGGTGAAACTTCATACTCAACATTCAAGTTCTCCTCTATTCACTCAAAAACAGAAAACTGTTTCTCCAGGTTATATTACAATATTTACCTTGAAACAAACAGTAGTTATTAGTTCCCTTGCAAAGTAAGGCACAATTGCATACTATATTGGTCATTTAATAAAAGATAATGTAATGAGTAGTTTAATTGAGTGGAAAAATCTATGTGGTTTAAGGCTATCTAACAATTTAAATCTGGAGACTGCAAGCCCAGTAATACACTTCAATGATGGCATACTCTGGCACATTTATGTAGTTACAGAACATTCATTCAAACTGATGTCAGAAGCTATACTGGCAAGGCAGCCTTACTTTCAGAGATGAAAGGACAGAAAGAGGGGTGCACTCACCTCCTTTCCCACTTGTGGGAAGTTTTGCACAACAGAGGATTTTAATGTTATTATTCTTCTTCAATGTCTCAAAAATTCAAATAAACCAGCCAGGCACCAGTGGCTCATGCCTGTAATCCATGGAGACTGAGACAAGGAGGGTAGGTAGCATGTTCCAGAGCAGCCTAGACAGATAGCTCTGGAGATCCCATCTCCAAAATAACCAGAGCAAAATACACTGGAGGTGTGGCTTGAGGAGCAGAGTGCCTGCTTTCCAAGTGCAAAAACTCTGAGTTCAAACCCAGTTCCAACAAAAAAAATTAAATAAAAGAAAAAAATTAAAATAAATTTAAAAAAATTACTAAAAACCAGAGCTCAGGTCTGACATGATGGTCAAATCATCATACCATGGGTATTTGGGAAGTGTCACCAAATCAAAGACCTCACTGATAGGGCCCAGTTCAACTGAGCATTAACAGCAGATGTCCTAAGCCACAGCACCACTGGCTGTTCTAAAGAAAAGAAAAATCCCTGCTCAGCTCCACATCTAGAGGCCCTGGGCTACAAAAACAAGTGCCAGGGGAGGGAGTAGAGGATCCTTTGCTTCCAGCCTAGGGCAGAATCCACCTGCACCAACCCCAATGCCCTACAGCGATTCAAAGCAGCTCTGCTCTCCTCTAATGCTGAAGAATCAGTTGGGGGGGGGGGGGCGCGGAATGGGGAAAGTGCCAGGTGTAAAGAGACTCAGCACTGACCTTCCGTATCTCACTGTTTTCTGTTCATGCTAATAAATGCCACCTCTATTACTGAATTAGGCAATGAAAAGGATCAAGAGAAGAAAATTACAAAGCAAGCAGGCATGTCATTGAGAAAAAGAAAAGAGTAAGATAAAGTAGAAACCCCAGTAAACATTATTATCAAGTATATAAAAGAGCCACCTTTTGTCCTCTAGGATGAGTCCAGTCAACTGAGCAGCAAGGTCTTTGGTTTTATGAGATTGGATGTATGCCAACCCAGTCCAATTCTCCCTGACCACCAATGAGACAGGGTTACAGACTAGAAATGTACTAGATGAAGTAATGAGTGGTTTATTAGAAAGCAAATCCATGACCCTGCTTTAGCCAGCACGGCAAACAGAAGTATGCAAAAGGAGTACATCTGTACCAGGTGCAAAAACAGAACTGGGTCTACCACACCCAGTTCATTTGATCACAACAACCCACTCAAGGTAACTTAAGGTCACAGTGCTTCAAGAAAGCAGGGGCAGGCTTCCCTTCCTGTAAAAGTTACAATTTATATCTATCAAGAATAGGAGTTTGCTCTGGTTGAGGATGGAGTTCAGTGGTAGAGCACTTACTTACCTAGCATATACAAGGTCCAGGGTGTGATCCCCAGCACCATGAAAAATTAAATGTACCAACTTTGAACACATATCACATGGACATGGATGTGTATGGGCAGAGAAACATAAAAGAAAGTTAAAATAACCCTAAATCCATCATCCCAGGTCTCATTTTACATGCAGAAGTACTGAATGAGAGAGAGCAATTTAGTACTAAAGGATCCCATTATAATACCACCTTCCTATAATTTGTTTTCCACTCAAAAATGTGTCACGGATACCCTCCCAGCCAATAAATACAGATGTGAATTAGTATAACACCATATATTCCACAATATAAACATATAAACATGCTGACATTTAAGTACTCCTGACACCAGAAGTTATTTTTTTTTCAGAAGTTATGTTTTATCTAATTTTCCACAATTACAAACTGTGTCAAATAACCCTCCACACAGATCTCTAAAAGGAATCCTTTGGAAGTGAAACTTCTGTGTCAAAGTATACGCAGAGTTTGAATTGTAATGCATGTGTCAAACTGCCCAGCAGAAAAGCTGTACGAATTCTCATTACTTACTGTCAAGGGTGCTTGCTCTCCCACCCAATGTCAATATTGGGTTTTGTTGTCCTTTTAAAAATATTTATCCATCTAAGAGATTAAAAAATGGCTTCATTTTTATTTGCATTTTATTTGGATTCTTCCTAAAGTTAAACATCTTTTCATATATTTATTGGTCCACTGTATGTTTCCTTTCTCCATTTTCTGGTGTTTAATCACTGTCTTTTTGTAAGTAGTTCTTTACATAAGACAATTATTAACCCTTACCACAGCTCGTCCATCTTGCCACCTGTCTTTCAAGCATTAATATGGATGTTGTGCTTTATAGGACATTCAGTTGGGGTTTGGTTTTTTGGTTGCTGTTGTTTGTTTTGTTTTCTAGTACTGGGTTTTTTTGGTTTTTTTTAACTCAGTGCCTACACCATGAGCCACTCTACCAACATTTTTTGTGATGGGTTTTTTCAAGATAGGGTCTCAAGAACTACTTGCCTGGGCTGGCTCTGAGTCAAAATGCTCTTGGTCTCTGCCTCCTGAGTAGCTAGGATTACAGGAATGAGCCACCAGCGCCTGGCAACATTCATTCGTTATATGCCAAACTGAAGAATTTTATTACCCAAGCTACTGGCTTTTGGGTAAGGATTAGAACACACCAAGATTACATAAACCATTCTTAATTTGCTTCTGGTACCACTACTTTTTACACTTAATTGATCTAGCTGGAATTTATTTTGGTTTAGGAAGATACCATTATCTTTAATAGTAACTATGTGTTACTACATAGAATGGCTCAAAGGTTGACTTGAACATAGTTAAAGGACAGTTAAGACCCATTCTGAGCCAAGCTTAGTGGCACATGCCTATAATCCCATCACTCTAGAGGCTGAGGCAGGTGGATCCCAAATTCCAAGCCAGCCTGGACTAAATAGCAAGACTCTGTCTCAAAACAACAACAACAACAAAAGACCCATTCTGAATGGAATGAATTTGTATTGTAGACTTTAATACTAAAATTATTGAAAATCAAACAAAAGTACAGATTAAATAAAGAACATAAATTGGTTTAGACTAAATATGACTTAAGACAAGAGGAACATTAGATCAAAACTAAATAAATGGTCTAGAGAAGCAAAAGGAGGGAATAAGATCAGTAGACGGGTGGGAGAGATCTCTAAGTTGCCTCCTCCCTCTGCCAGTTCTCTAAGCCTTAAACTATTCTGACCAGTGGAGAACCTGAAAAAAGCCAGAAGAACTAACTGCAAGTCTTGCCTCTTCTACTCGAGAGGGCACTGAAATGCTAAGCTACCTCCCCGCGCTGGCATTACGAGGATATAGCATGTACCTGACAGTGCTTTGTGAGTTCTAAAAACAGCATCTCTACCTCCGCAAGAGGATTTCACAAACAAACCCTCCCCCATGCCTTCAACAGTGTGCACGGCAGCAGCATGAAAACCAACAAGTGTTGTTAGTATTATCTTTTGTTCAACACAAGGGCACTTTGATAAGCTTCTTAATTTAACACAAAATAACAAGCAGCAATGTTTGCCACCATCCTTCCACTCCAGGTCACAGAGCTTGCAAGCAGGGCAAGGGTACTGGACCTTGTTTCCACTGACAAAGTTTGGCAATCTTTTCAGTGTGTTTTGTCTCTCCTGAAGGCTAGAAAACTAGAAAAACTGTGGACTAATTACATTTTCAACCTAGAAATCATTTTCCTGCTCAAAGCTGAAAGCATATTTGGTACCTGCTAGGTCACAATGTTTATAAACAAACTTTCCCTGAAACTATTTCTGACATTGCATAAGGCAACAACAATAAATCAGAATCCAAAAGTTACCCCAAAACCAAATCTGCAAGGAACGCTCCCACTCAGAAAGAACTGATTCAAATCTTACTTCACAGTCTCCATCCAGAGGCAGGAGTTCAAATTACCTGTCTGGAACAATCTTTTAAGTTCTTGCCCATGTTAACTCCCTCGCTGATTTGTATGTAACAGAATTGGCCCCATAATCACAAAATTAAGGTTTCTGTCAGCAAACCATTACTAGGTTTCCATGTTAAGTCACACCAACCTACTTCAGAGTTTCATCAAAATCAAGTGAGCCAATATATAAACTAAAGGTATACTATTCCAAAGTGTATATAAACTGAAGGAGCCTCCCAATCCTTCAGGGACTCCCTCAAATCCACTCAGAAGCTGTCCTTGCCCATAATACCAATAAGCACACTCTTCTCCGGGCTCTTCAAGATCCTTCACAGCACTTACTGTCATTTAATAAACTAAACCTATGTGCTGAAGTCATGAATTGCGTAGTTTCCTAACAGCTTCCTGAAACAAGTCTTCTCAATACAAGAGGTTAGGAGCATGAGGACAAGACTCCCACTAAATACTCTGACATATGTTTTCATTGGAGTTTTCTGATGAAAAATTAAAACTGATCACAGGTCCACATATTCAACATACTTTCAAAGTTAAGCTTTACTTTACTATAAAGCTGAATCTCCCTGCACCCCTAAACTCAATGACGAGAATACCCTCAGATAAACCATTACTCCACCATGCTAGAGTAAGGCTCTTTTTAGGTATAATACTCACAGACATTAGCCAGGCATGGCGGCACACCCTTGTAATCCCAATACTCAAGCGGCTGAGGCAAAAGGATCACAAGTTCAAGGTCAA